GTCTTGACTCCCACAAGCACACAAGTCCCAAGCCTTAAGTCTCGAGTCCCACAAGCACACAAGTCCCAAGACTTAAGTCTCGACTCCCACAAGCACACAAGTCCCAAGACTTGAGTCTAACACATAGAGTCTCAATCTTCTTCTTGAGTCTTGTGAGTGCCAAGTCTTAGACAACCACTACACGGCCCCAGCCTTGCAGAAAAAGCAACTCGTCGCCACAGCACTGTAGCAACGGCTTGGCCTACCGGACCACAATGGCTGGCAGCGGCAGCCAAAAAGGAAAAAAAAAGTGTCCCCCTGGCGGTTCCGAAAAGCTTGGCGCACAGTAAAGCGACTCCAGGCCCGGCTCAGACGTACTGGTCGTCTAACCCTCCTCACACAGAATCTCAACTCTCAAGTCTGGTGATTATGGGAACCTCAAGAGAGTTGATCCTCATCCTACGATAAAGACTCCGAAATTTAATTTGAATTCTATGGATAAAATCCTAAATCAACTGCAAGGACCATAAGAACCCGTTTAAACAACACCAACAAAAAAAAGAAGGAAAAAAATCATCGCTCATCCCTGGCACGGCTTGGGCCCTCAGACTTGTCAGCATACAGTACAGACCGGCAAAAAAACAAAAAAAAGCATACAGTATCAAATAGTGTTAGTGTTCCAACTATGGTCCTCAAAACACCAGTACCTCCGAAAGTCGTGGCGGTAAGCAAGGCATGACAATCATGAACGAACAGGCCACTACAGGTGCGCCCAGATTCGTCAGACGAGCAAAGCTTCTAGTCTATTTTTTCCCACGGCCGATACATGGGAAAGGTAGTGGTGGTTTTAAACATTCATGGTGTCTGTCCACGGTGCCTCCACGACTGATTCTCACTCATCAACGCAATCTCCCATCGTCGGTCCGATCAGTGTCAGTATGTCGCAGCACATAGTGTTAGAAATTAAGGAGTATAGAGCAGCAAGTAGTCTTCTACCATCTTCTCAGATGGGAGAGATGGTTAACGGAAAGCCCAAAATTTGGGGTTCTGCTGGATATTTCGCCGAAAATGACACCACCTATTAACCATTAGTGAGCAAGTAGTTTGAAACCATCTACGGAATGGCAAGTCGTGTTAACGACAAGTACATGGCCCCAGCCAACTTGAAGAGTCACAATTGACTCACTCTGAAACGGATCTGAGGCTCGGGGAAACCAGACCAAAATGGCTGCGGACGCGAGCCAAAACTGCAACAAAAACGCAGCGCTCGGCAAAGCTTGGCGGGCAGGGGGAACTCGCCTCGTACAGAAGAGGCGGCCCGGTTGTACCTGTGGCTCAAGAGTATGGAGCAGCAGGTAGTGTCAGGGCCTGGCCACACTCATGCCATGTTCATGCTATGAAGGCACGGACCTCGCCGTATTCGCGATCAGGTTCATGCTTTCCGAGCAAGAAACATTACAAGCTGCGCCGCCTGCTCCTTAACCGATGCAGCGATCTCGTGCTCACCTCGCATCGGTCCCCACCTTGCGTTTCACGAATGATTGCCTCAGAGCTGCACCGAGCATGCACGAGCAGAGTGATCCATTCCGCTGAGGTAATCCTACTATTGTGCAAAAGACCTGTGTTTCTCTATTGGTTCGACGAACCTAGCTAGTACGTACAGAGTATGTGTAGTATTTCCACCACGGTGCTGTGTCTAACAAGCCACTAAATCAAGATCAGAGCGCTCACAGTATTCTTGTTTTTTTTTTTTTTTTTTGGCTTAGTACTCGTAGTATTCTATCGAAGAATGTGAAGCTACTATCGATGAAGCAATGAATACAAGATCAGGCTACGTGTCGTAGTGTATTAAAGCTACGATCAACTACAGCTGCTGCAATAACTCAAACTGTAACACAGACAACTGTCCCTTTCCTATCACAGTCACACAGTTACTCACTAAAGATAGGATAGCAGAAGCACACAGCATGACAAACAAGAAACAAAAACAGAAGAGAAGAGACGGTTCAAGCCCGGATCAATCAAATCCTTCATCACGCTCTAAGAATTCAGAGAATCTACATAACTCAATCCCATGGCCAAAAGTCAAAAACTACAAAGTTAAATGTGTTGCTTCTAAAGGGTCGGTCGCAATTCCGTCATGGACTTCAGTCTGCAACCTGAGTCAATGCCTCAACAACTTCTAAAGGGCCGGTCTCCTTCCTTCTCTCGCAATTCCGTCATGGACTTCAGTCTGCAACCTGAGTCAATGCCTCAACGACTTCCGTCATGGACTTCAGTCTGCAACCTGAGCCAACTTGGTTGGCGAGCCCCTCCCTCAACTAGATCTCATCGTCACGGGTCGAACTCCAAGGCAAGGTTGCCGACAAAAGGACAAAAGGATTGCCCCTTCCTTGTCTTCCTTGTCTTCCCAATCCCCGCTGACTCAAACGCTGACTCAATTGCTCACTAAGTTCTAGGGGCTCAGCAGACCCTAACCGAACTCAATCTAGGATCACTGCTCAGACCGCAAACGTGTTCTGGTACTGCTAAATCATGCTCCTCTCCTTCCTTATCCTTCCTCCTCCTTCCTTCATGCCGCCGCCCACTCAAGTACATCAGCACCAGACTGGGAATCCTCCAGGCAGATCGACCAACTCAAGTCCTTTCACCAACAGACTTGTGAGCATTCACACCGATCGACGGGAGGTGACATCAACTTCTCAATGCAACATCAATTCCTGCGCCTTAGCGGTTGTGCACGCCTGGGCCAGCACACAAGTCCAGGCGACTCTCGAGCAATCTCTGAGTAAGGAAGAGTGCTGTGCTTACTCTCTGGCAACGACGAAGACTCTCTCTCTCTCTCTCTCTCTCTCTCTCTCTCTCTCTCTCTCTC